GTTGAAGCTCTTGCTCGTCATCAATTATTTCTCAAATTTTCTTGCAGCTTTCCTCCTAGGTTTTGTGCTATCAACTCCTTAACCCCGTCAATTGCATTATAAATGAAGCCTATTGCTAGTTTTTTATGCATTAACCAACCTTAAAATTTGAACGGATGGCTTTGTTGTTGTTGGTTCATAACAAACAGTTCAGCAAAAACTTACTATTCAAACAAACCTTCCTAACTTCTTTCCCTTCAATTTATTTTGGCCAAAGCACAGTTTAGCCATTGTATGGAGGTGAATATAGCCTCCAAACATTACTTTGCTCCAATTTGCTTTGTAGTGTCAAGCAGGATGTAACAAATATTGTTGTAGCAGGCCGTAAGAGTATTTTCTTAGAAAATTTTATCATCCAAGCCAAAACTCACAAATGTAGTGATATTCTTTTCTTTGCTTGGGGCATTCTTGTGTTGAGGTGACTCTAAATGTTTTTTTCTAGAATCAAATCTATCCAATTTGACCCATGGTGTTCAATGCATATGCTTCCTCTCATCCATCGCCACTTTATAAGCATTAGCATTGTCTATGATCTATGTAGCATGGATACTCCTATTTACGAGGCATGATGTATCATACACGCGTCAAATACAAATACGCCTCCGATACGGCACGGATATGTTTCATATACAGATTTGACGTGTCCAATTAAAATATTATTTAAATTTGACCGGACACACGTATCAGATTCGTGTCCTATTAAAAAAAAATGAAAAAATGGTACTGGAACTCTGGTACTGCTTAGTACCTCTCCGCAACGCTCGGTACGATGCTCAATATCAATGCTCGGTACTGCTCGGTACCGAGGGGTACCGAATGGTACCAAGCGGCATCGAGAAGCTAGAGAAAGCTTTAAAGCAACTCTTACTTACTGAATGGTCGAACCCTGCCAGGGGGTAGCGCCCCCCGTTGGACCCCCGACATATCTGTGACATATTTACACTTTAACTTAAAAATTTTTATGTTTCAAATTCATGTGGTTTAATTGTGTCAAACATTAGACATGATAATCACTCTTGTCTATTTTCAAGTTCTCTTAATCTCTTCAAAGGCTTTCTCTGTAATATTTATTACCACCTTTAGTATTCAAGTTCTTAGCTCATACATAGATGGCGGTTTTAGGCTTCAATCATAAGAACTTATAGAATAGATGTTAGAATAAGGAGAGGTTACCACAATAAATGGAATGACATTTTCATATGCATGTGAGCTTTTAGCACTTTTAGGAGATGTTTGATGGGTTATCCATGCACCATCATCGTTCAAGTCCTCCGTGTTCATCATGTGTTGATTCATTGATTCTCTTGCGCTTTCACCGATTTTTTTTGGCAAATAAGATGAGTATTCTTTATCACTAGGCTCACTATTATTTTGTTCTATCATCAAATTATTGTTGCATTTAATGCTTGACATTATTGTCTTGTTTATATATGCATGAATCTCTTATTTCAACTCTTTAAGCGCCTTTGCACTGTTTCGACATTTTTATGAGATCTAAAACGCACATTTTTCATTCTTTTTACATGCCCTTTAACCATCTTATTGCAATAATTGCACTTTAGATCACCATATATTTTGTGGCTCCCTCCAACTTCATCTTGCACACTATGTCTCCATTTCAATGTTTTTCTATATTCAATTGTGCTTTTCTTCTTTTCTTTAACCATGTTGTAGTAAACATTAGTTTAAAATTTTGATTCAAAAATAAATTGAAACAAGCAAATGTTCAAGTAAATAAAAAATCCTAAATACTACTACTACAACAACAACATCAAGCCTTTATCCCCCACTACGTGGGGTCGGCTATATAAATCATTTTTCTCCATTGTGTCCAGTTAAGAGCCAAAGTCTCATTTAGATCTAATGAAGAAGGTCATTTTTAATATTTTCTAACCAAGTCTTTTTAGGTTTACATCTACCTTTCTTAACATAGGTTAAATCTAACACATCCACTCTCCTAACCGGGTCATCGGAAGGCCGCCATTTTATGTGACCAAACCATCTAAGGTGACTCTCTCTAATCTTATTTGCCATTGGAGCTACTCTAACCTTTTCACGTATATAATCATTTCGTATCCTGCCTCTAAAGAGTAAAGCCACTCATCCACCTGAGCATCCTCATCTCTGCAACAATTAACTTAATATGATGCTTCTTTTTTAATGGCCAACATTCTGCGCCATAAAGCAATGTAGGTTTAACCACCCTCTTATAGAATTTTCCCTTAAATTTGAGTGGTACTTTTCTATTACACAACATACCCGATGCATTCCTCCATTTCATCCATTTAACTTGAATTCTACTAATAATATCTTAATATATTTCGCTATCACTCTGAACAATAGACCCAAGATATCTAAAATGTATACTCTTATTAATAACTTGATTGCTCAAAGTCACAAAGCCTCCACTAGATCTATTACTACTAAAATTACACTCTATTTATTTGGTTTTAGATCAACTCAAACGAAAACCTTTAGACTCTGAGGTTGACCTCCATAATTCAAGTTTACCTTCAACTCCCTCTTTAGTCTTATCAACAAAAAGAATATCGTCAGCAAAAAACATACACCAGGAAACCTCATCTAGCAAATCTCTAGTAAGAACATCCATGACTAAAGCAAAAAAGATATGGGTGTAAGGTTGATCCTTGATGTATTCCAACTGAAATTAGAAAATATTTGGTCAAATCACCTTGTTTTTTATTACAAGTAACATCTCCAACATACATATCCTTAATGACTTGAATGTAATTATTATTAATTCCTTTCTTTTTTAGAACTCTCCATAGCACTTCTCTTGGAACATTTTCATATGCTTTCTCTAAATCAATAAAATATTATATGAAGATCATCCTTTTTCTCTCTACACTTCTCCATCAAACCTCTCAATAAATGTATGTATTCCATATTAGACATACCCGGCATAAATCCAAATTGATTTTGAGAAACATTAGTATCGCGTCGTAACCTATGCTTTATAACTCTCTTCTATAGTTTTAAAGTATGACACATCAACTTAATTGCTCTATAAATTGCCTAATCTTGTGCATCACCTTTATTCTTAAAGATAGGAATCAACACACTCATTCTCCACATATCTGGCATCTTTTTAATATTCAAAATAAGATTAAAAAGTTTAGTAAGCCAAGATATTTCTTCATCTCCTAAGCATTTCGACACCTCTATTGGAATATCATCATGTCCAACATTTTTCCCACACTTCATTTTCTTTAAAGCCTCTCTAACTTCACTTTTAGTAATACGCAGATAAAAACAAAATCTCTATTTTTTATTTTGAGTGTTAAGGTCACTAAAGTCGATTGTATTTTAATAATCTTCATTGAAAAGCTTATCAAAATATCTCATCCACCTTTGTTAAATATCCTTTCATAAAAAAATATTTTTTGATCTTAATCTTTAATGCACTTCACTTGAACTAAATCCTTACTACTTTTATCTTTTTGTTTGGCTAGTATATACATATATCTTTTGCCCTCTTTAGTATCTAATTTATTATATAAATCATTAAAAGCTAAAGTCTTTGAATCGTAGAATTCTTTCTTAGATCCCTTACGGGCAACTTTATATCTTTCTTAAATTTCAGAATTTTTACATCTAAACCAATTTTTATAACAGAGTTTTTTATTTTTTTTTCTTGCATATTTTGATTTAACTACCAACTATTTTTACTATTAGAAGCTTTTCCTTTTTATACTCCAAGCACACATCCTTTGCAATATTCTTAATATTCGAAGCTACTATTTCTCACATAACATCAACTTTCTCATGCACCGACAAAATCCTAGGATCGTGAATCTTACACTAAAAGATATTTTTGTTAGAGTTTTTTAAATGCCCCATCTAATCCTAAAACAACGATATATTATATTTTTCATACTCTGCCCCTTCATCTTAAAGTCCAAAATTAATAAGCGGTGTTGGGTATATAGACTTTCACTCGAAATAACTTGACAATCGTTGTGATCTAAACGATCTATTTTTCTTACAAGAAATTAATCAATCTGAGTTTCATTCTAAAATTTTAGTTTTGAGCACATATTCAAACCTATTTTAGGAGCATAAGCACTTAAATATTAATAATGTTAGCATCAACAATATTTTTTAAAACTATAATTCTATCTCTAATTTTATCAATTTTTACAACATTATTTTTCAAACTCTTATCTATAACCACACCATCATTTCTAGTAAGACTTCTATCAGAGTACTAAAGTTTAAACCATAAACTATCAATCTCCTTAGCCTTCTTTCCCACCCATTTAGTTTCCTGAATGTATAGAATAATTATCTTTATATGAATAATAATATCAATTAATTCCATTAATTTGCCTATAAGGGAACCTACATTCCACGATCATAACCTAATTCTAGTTTCATGTACTAGCTTCTTTGCTCACATCCGTCCATGATATGAGAACCCTTGCCTATTTAACACTGCATCCAGGCACCGATGCAGCGACCATTGCACATTGGTCACTATATTCAAGTCATTCAGTGTGTCGCTTACAGGGAACTCCCTAGCATTAAGACGATGTATTAAAAGATTCATGTCATGATTATTCGACAAGTTTTACGCTAGTTGTCGGCTACCTACCGTAACTCTCAAAAGCAATAAGTATAGCTGTTTGGTTATCATGAGTATGGTGAGAGCTTTCAATTTATACGTTCTTCGAAAGATAAAAAAAAACATTTCAGTCTTTGGAGACAAAGCAAGCATGCCACAGGAGCAATCATCGCAGTTTACGGCTTGCTAGAGATCGTTTTGAAATGCAGTAGTGAGATATAACTTCTTACAATCAAATATTTAATAGCATGATAGCTATATGAGAACAGTTATCGTTTTTGTTTTTTAGAAGGAAAAAGTTATTGGTAGTTCTTCAACTATTTGAATAAACTCCATAATGGATTATTTTTTCATTTTTATATTTTATACTTTGTAGCCCGATTTCAAGGCAATCAAGAAACGTATAGAGGACCTGATCACCCGAGATTATTTGGAGCGGGACAAGGACAATCCTAACCTCTTCAGATACCTCGCCTGAGAAACCACACAGAGCTACTAAAGGTGTTCATATTTTGCCTGCTCTCTTCTGTTGCCTGACAGCAATAATCGTCGAAATTGATTTCCTCGTTAGGCCGTCGGCTGCGCAATTGTATTTTCAGTTCTTCTATCTGTTAAATTTTACCCAAATGCAGGTTGAGCTCATATTATCTATATTCAACTGTGAGGGAAATGGTAATTGGCCAGTTGCATTTTGCCCTCTCACCATCTCTTCTTTCTATATATTAATTGTAAGGTCTCTCGTGTACTGTAATCGGCATCTCAATACTTGTCCTTATTACCTGGGCATATTGCTTTCATACTTAATTGTTCTGTAGATTACTAGTTTGTTTCCCACTTAGACACTACTTCTTTTTTCCATTGTGTAATAATTTCTTGTTTTTTGGATTGAAGGCGCTACTCTGGTATTATGAATGACAGATTAAGAGGCTTGTGAACAGCAAGTTTTTATGTATATTTGTTATTTATCCGTTTCAGGATTGTGTAAAATGCATATTAAAAAATTTCATTTGAAGGCTTGAACAGCTTTATGTGATTGATCAGGACTACTGCTGGCAGACGCGCTTCCATTTGTTTTTTTTTTACGACTTCTACTCTGTCAATTGCAAGGTATTATTTTTCATTGTAGGTTAAATAATTTGTTATTTTCCCATTTCTTGCACATTTTCTTTCCTTGATTTTTGGCATGGTTTAGGGTAATTTCTTTAGTAGCTTTTTAACACATTTATTGAAACCAATGAAACAATAGTGGTTACAAATTGTACCAAATGAAGTCTCATGGGAAGTAGGGCTGTTAAAATCGGGTCATGGGTTGGATTCGGGAATTGACCTGGGATTGTTTGACCCGACCTGTTTCGGATTCGGGTCTAACTTGAACTTGTCCTGCATATTTTGATCGGAAGCAAAATGATGGGGAGTTTACTCGTTGTGTAGGTAACATTATCCGTTTCGTGCCTGTCTATGGTTTGCTTTTTATATTATCTTTTTTGTTGTTGTTGTTTGGCTTTGTTCCGTAGGAGGTGTGGCGATTGCACGAGTCACTTCTTCGGCTCCGTTGCAGTTCGACTTTGCTCCTTTGACGACGATGGGAGTTCGCTTGTTGTGAAGGTAACTCTATCCCTAATGTCACTTTCGTGCGCTCAGAGGCGTCTAGGGTTTGCTTTTTATCTTCACTTACTCATTATTGCTGTTTAACTTTGCTCCACGGACGACATTCCCTTCCGATGGATCGGAAGTTACAACATTTTGATTGGAAGCAACAAAGTTCCTAGCTTTGAAGCATGACCAAATCTATTCAATACGTCGAATTACAGGATTCTGGGTCAAAATCGGGTCATTTTTGGATTTTAGGGTTAACCCGATTTAAACTTGAAATTCGAAACTGGTTGAAAATTGGGACCTAAACCCGCCTCGTTTTTGGTTTGGGTAGACCCGAACCTGAAATTTTTGTGCCGGTTTTTGTGGCTGTGGCAAATTTTGACATCCCTAACGGGAAGTAATTTAGATTTTGTTTGAGATAATTTTTTTATTACTTTATAAATTAATTTTTTAATAAAAAATAGTGGAAATTGGGCTGTTCGAGTTTTCTTCCCCAAATCTTGAACAGCTCTAAAATAGAGTAGTCAATCAAAGTAGAAGTAGATCAGACTTATTGTGTTTTGCGCTGTAAATTAAAGCCACCTATATGGTTAGAGACCTCTAATATGGCAAAGAGGGCAGGGCAACACTCTTCTCTCACAATTATTAGCAGTCAGTGAACATTGTGATTGTTAGCCTTAAAATTGTGGTCTTCATGTTGTGTAAAAAGTTATTTGGAGTTACAAATGAGGGTTTGTGATAGGTTTTAAGAAACGTCGACAACTAAGATTTTGTTTGAGACAAATTTTTTATTGCTTCTTAAAGAAGTTTTTTAATACAGAAATTTACTAAAAAGATGTTTTAAGAAGCACTACAAAAGCTGTCCCAAATGAAGTCTAGGACATCTTTTTTATTGTTTTGTTTTTTAAATATCAACAACAAATTTTATTTTGATGGCAATTTTTATTGTGTTTTTTTTTTTCGGAAGTTATTTTCTGCAATAGTTTAATAATTTTTTTTTCTAATAAATTGTTTTACTAAATGGGGTGAGCACATATTTAAGGTTGTCAACTAATTTTTGCTAGATAATGGGATTGATGCATGCTATATCCAAGTCACAAGCCTTAATTTATTGAATTTTATAATTATCCTTTTTGCTCAAATTAGAATTTGGGATATTGCTATATACCTAAAATTTATAGAGTTCATAAAAAAGTTAAATGGTACTTCTCTTTTAATGTTTTAATTGATTGACTTGTGATATTTTTCTTGAAAAACACTAGTTGCATGTGTGTTTTGCTTCGTCTACTAAGGCTTCGTTTGAGACGGCTTTTTTTCTGCTTCTTAAAACAGGTTTTTAGTAAAAAATGCTAAAAACTGTTCCAAATGAAGCATAAATCTAAAGTAAAATGAATCTATTTTTTTGTTCTCAGCATCCATTCTCACTAATTTTGTTTTGAAGATCCTGATCTAAATAAGTGTCATGCCACCAATATTTCTTAGCAAATAAAGTGGAGGCTGATGTTGGCCATAGCCTAATCACTATAATTAATACTTAATACTATAGTCACATTTCATATAATCAACATATGAGATATTAGTTATTTATCTTAACATGTATTTGTATAAATTATTTGTAATGTATTTTCATGGATTTTTTAATATGGATTATTTTTTATAGGACTCAAAATTTATATTTAAGAATGTACAATTTTAAGCATGGAGTAGAAGAATCCAATAACTTTATTTAAAATAAAAAAATCATGATATTAACTCAGGTGGGTGGATTATGATTCTTTTCCTTTAGGTTTTTTCATGTAAAAAATTGTCTCCATTGCTGTATATTTTTACCTTAGTGTTAAAGATAAAAGTTTAAACTTTTTATTTATCAATATAAATATTCAAACATGTAAAAATAAAAATAGAAAGGATAACCGGTAGTTTTAATTTGACCCAATCTGAGCCCAAATGAGACCAAATCAAAGACTCGAAGAATATTTGGAAGGTTCAAACCAACCAAATGATCTACAATCATGTCATGCTTATAGTCGAATAGAGCGGCTCAATAAGATGAATCCAATGAGTCTAAGATCATCAAATTTTGATATCATTAAGATAATAAAAAGTCCATTGAATGGTGTATGATCATAGGAATCAAGATCGGACGTCCATCCGAACCACTCCCAATTTACCATTGATCTTCGACTAATTTAAAAGTCATGCAACTCAAGAATTCTATAAATAGAATCTCATTTTCTCTTGAAAAGGGGGAAGAACCAAGAGAGAAGAGTGAAGAGAAGGAAGAAAGCTCCTGCCGCCTAGCTCCTCCTCGACCACCACCGAAGTTCTGCCGCACCATCGCCAGGTTCTGTCGAACCACCACCATACCATCCAAGGACATCAAAATGCCACTCGAAGCCGGAGTGCCCCCAACGTTGAAGTGTCACAGTTGTACCACCGCCTGACACCGGAGTGCTGCCAGACCATCACATGAGGCTTAGATTTCAGCTGGACCACCAGCTGAAGCCTGGAGTTCTGCCGGAGTACCGCTCTACTATTACAATCTTTTTGACCCCAGTCTCCTATTGACTATGGTCCTTCCAACCTCCCTTGTCAAACAAGTCTTTCTGACCCCAATCTCCTGCCGACTATGGTCCTTCCGACCTCCCTCGCTAGACAACAGTCTTTCTGACCGCAGTCTCCTGTTGACTACTGTCCTTTCGACCTCTCTCGCTAGACAACGGTATTTCTAACCCCAGTCTTCTGCCGACTATGATCCTTCTGACCTCCCTTGCCAGACAACGATATTTCTGACCCCTATCTTCTACCGACTACAATCCTTCCGACCTCCATCGCATACTATGCTCTTTTTCGACCTCTGTCCAATAGGCTATGGTCCTGCCTACCAAACAAATTTAGTTGTTGATTATTGTAACTCTCACCATGTAATGTCATATATATACATGGGGGGGGGGGGGGGGGCGAAAAATTTTAAAATCAAATTCTTATATTGCATTATAATTATTAAATAAAAAATTACAAACTTTGCTATATAGAAGAAAATATTTTAGATTTCATTTTTATACATCTTCCAATCAATTTTAAACTGGTCTACGAGAATAGATATCACGTATTTAGTTAATATATTAAACATGTTCTAGCAGAAATCAAGTGATTTGATGATTTAAGTCATTTTTTGTGAATGAAGAAAATAAATTAATTAACTACAAAGTTTTATCATTTTTAAGATTCATTTTATTGGTCCTAAGTCTGGATGTAAAAAGTTGAAGAAAAAAAATTTAGGCCCCCCCTAGATATATTTTCTGGCTCCGCCACTATATATATATATATATGATGTATATTTGTGACATCAAACCAATTCCTTCTCCCAAGGAAGGGCCTCATTTGTAATCAATTGTAAATACTAGTGGATTCTTTCAAACTAAGCCAGGCCCCGTGATTTTCCCCCTTTTGCAGGGGTTTCCATGTGAAAACTCTCTTGTCTCTTATAAATGTTGTATCCTCTCTCTTCCATCTGTTTATGTGTTGGATCTTCGTACAACGCTAAGACATTAAACTATATATTTCTCTACCGTCGCGAATACTCAAGGACGCAACAATAAAAAAATGGCAATTATCATATGGAAATTAGCTTTAAACAAACATTTAAAATCACATTCTAAAATGTAAGTTTATTCACATTCTTACTTCTCTTGCATTTCATTGGGAAATTAATATTTCATTTGGGATGACTTTTTGTTGCTTCTTAAAGCAGCTTTTTTATAAGAAATTCTTTTTAGTGAAAAAAAAAATTAATTTTTATACTATAAAGTTGCTTTAAGATGTCACAAATGAAGCTTAAATCAATAATAATGATGTGAAGACTAGCTTTTCTGTTAGAATTACAGTGAGTTTGGCTAGTGCATTTAATGCACTTTTGTTTAGAAATATAATTTATAGAGCCATCTCTTTTATTCTTTGTATTTAAATTTCATATTCTTTTATCCATGCAGCTGTTTTTTTTACACAACTAACCTTAGTAACTTTATGATAAGAATAGTTGTTGTAAAGTTTCCTGCCTCAAATCATTGTCCATGTCAAAAAATGAAATTGATTCAACTTACTAACTTTATTTCCCACCAAAAAAAAAAACTTGACAATATTCAAACATTACACAAATTCTTTCCTCAAATCAAAACGACGAAAGAGAAAAAGATACGTTCAAATAAAAAAAAAAAGGTTCATACATATTACTTACAAACATTTGACTAACAAAAACTAAAAATAAACTGTAATTCAAAGATATTCATGTTACATTCTTCTTAAAAAGATTAGGATAATCAAATTATGAAATTGATGGCATAAACCAGATTGAAGGAGGCCAGTTAGGTTGTGAATCATAGTCAAAAAAATAGTGAAAGCAATCATTCTGAAGATCAAAAAACCCAGCATCATGATAAACATCATCTTGTGACGATTCATCCAAATGATCACAGAAGTATATACAGTTTGGTTTAATTTCAGGAACAGTCGTATGATGCAATGAGAATGTCTGGTTACAACCCACAAATAAGGAAAACCCCCCCAAGTCTTTGATGGTGGTCCATTGAGAGAATGAAGAAGAAGTTGCAACAACATCCTGGACTAACTTCAAAACTGAGATTCTAATTGTCTTCCCAGCGTACCTTTCATCAACAGGCCGAGTAAAAATATTGATCTCTCTCTCTATTTTTAGAAGAGTTCCCATTAAAAAGAAAATATAGTTCATGCAATATTCTTGTATGGGGCGTTCATCCTGTATTGGTTGGCATATCATTTCAACATTTTGTCCATTATGGTCGAAGGCTAGCACCCTCGAGAAACGTGTTATGGCGTAGAACCTTTGTTCTTCTTCGTGATAGCACACATCTTCAAATTCATCATGATCATTGGTGTTGTAAGGAAGCAGCTGTGGGCCAAGAACCCAAGCTCGATCACCAGGCCTTGCTAAAGCCAACAATTTATCATAACCATAGATTACAATTGCAGTTCCATGTGGATCATTAGAGGAGATGACAATCTTTTGAAAATATACATTGCAGAAATATTTTGTGTATGTGCAAAGGCCTCGACAAATTTCTTTATAAGATAACTCGATAGAGCCGTCTGAAGCATATTCGGGCTTGATCGTATGATATTTATCATCAGGGATGGTGAAGAGCGATGGGAAGGATATTTCAGCTTTTGTGAGAGGGTTGAAGATACGAGGCCGTAGATCTTTCTTATCAAGTGTCACAAGCCATCCATCTTTGGAGCTGATACATCGACGACCGAAGATATGTCCATTAAGGGAGGAGAAGTGGTGATGGCAGGCAATGTCTTCTTCTTTGATGGTAAGATCCCAGAAGGCAAGAGTGTCGGAGGCCTCTCCTTTTTTGCTAGGAAGGAGCAGCCATGGCGAGGGATGGAAATGAATGTGTTTGTGTGCATTGTTGGCAAAAGTTGAATTCCATGAGGTGCAGACGACGGAGAAGCGGAGGAAGTCGACGACATGCAATTTCGATGAGATATAATAGAGGAGATCTACCGGGAGATTCGACCATGCCATATTATGTTTTTGTTAGCTATAATGTCATATGGACCTTATATAGATAGGAGGAGGAGATGCATGGCCTAATTTAGGGCCATGGCGGTTTTAAAATTTTTAAATCATTTGGTGAAGGATGGTCTGTATTTTCTTAAGTTATAAATAGAAAATTTTTCTTGAATACAACTGGAACTATGCAAAAATAGGAGAAAATGGTTGTCCAATATTCATAAATAAATATTCTTTTTATATAGTATTCGTGGCCAAGGTATGTGATCCTTCTCCAAATATAGCCCATCTTTTATCCAAAAATAAAGTTTAATTCCGTTTCTTATTTTCTACAAGAACATTATCTTGTATTCCAATTACAACAATATATTGTATTCCAATGTAGGGGTGTCAATTTCGGGTCACGGGTCGGGTTCTTGTCTAACCCGAAATGACCCGAAGCTAAACGGGTTGACCCGAACCCGACCCGGTTTTGGATACGGGTTACTATTAAAGACCCGAACCCGACCCGAGTCGGGTTCGGGTCAACCCGGATTGACCCGCTAACCCGAGTAATTTTCATTAATATTTCAAAAAAAAAATTTAAAACATCAACACAGTTAAATTTAAACAAAAAATTGCATAAAATTTTTTTTTATTTATGAATTAGAAGCAATTTGCTAATTACAATATACAAATTATACAAAATATTAAACTAACAAATAAATTAAACAAATAATTACAATTTACAGATAATTCAAACGAATATTACAATTTACAAAAATTTTGAACTCCTTGACTAGTTGAAGTCTTGTGAAGTTGTGCCTGCCTGCCTGGAGTCCTAACCAGGTCATCAGAAGGCCGTAGTTTTTAATAAACGTGGTTATAAAATTTAAGTGGAGAAAGTAACTTTTTTAAAATATGTTTTGAAAAGTAGCTTCATAGCATAAAAAATTCTTGAAAATAGAAAAAAAAAGACAAATAAAAATTATGATTCAGAGCTATAAAGCAAAGCAGTTAAAAAATTATCCCAAATGAAGTCTTAGTATGAATTTTTTGATTGATTTGCAAGTTGATGATAATTATTATTCCTCAAAGTATTATTATGGTTCCAATAAAAAAAATTATAAATAAAAGTAGGACCCACTATTTGAGTATCCCAATAAAATGGAAGACAAAGTAATACGCATTGCTAGGTGTTGCATGCTAGAATATACGCAGCAATAGAGTTAGGGAATATTCGCCTTAGTATTGCACGAGTATTCCGCACACAAACAGAAAAGAGAAAAATGAAGACCAAGGTTTTTAAGTGGAAAACCCGAAAAGGGAAAAATCCACGGGGCCTCGCTCAGTTGCAAAGTTCCACTAGTATTTTTGTAGATTACAAAATGGCTTATTCGTCCAACAAGTTGGGATAATCAGAATACAATTTGTTTCTCCCAGGAAGTTTACAAAGTTCTGCGAATTCCTGGCGTTTTTTGAAAATCCGGCAGAGTTTCGGCGTCTTCAGGCGGCAGCCGCGTCTATCAGGCGGCTAGGAAGAGCTCTGGCGGTGGTCGAGGAGGTGAGGAATCTCCTTTTCCTCTTTCTCCTTCTTCTTCTTCTCTTCTTCTTCTATATCTTCACTTAGTCACTTCGTGTAGAATGAGGGATATATTATAGTTTTTCAAGAGTGGCATTGCCCGTAAATAGGCGTGAGATCAGGGGGCAATTGGGAGTGTTTTGAAGTGGATGCCCGATATTGAATCCTTTGATCACGCACCATTCATTGGGCATTGAAGGCCTTAATGATGTCGGAATCGGCAATCTTGGGACTCGTTGGATTCGTCTCGTCGATCCGTTCGATTCCGAGTATAGATCGTCAAAAAATCGGAGACTGTTTGGTAACTCAAATGCGGTTGAACCTTCCAACAGCGCTTCGAGCCCTTGATTCGGTACTCATTTGGCTCGGATTGGGTTGATCTTGGTGTCGTTGTTCGTATTTTCCGAGACGCTCAGTTTGACTATAAGTTCGCTGAAATCGGAGTTTCGGTGCTTCCAAAAATAATTTTGAAGTTTTCAACTTATTTTTGCCTCGAGATTCGTGACCGATTAGATAGTTTATAATGACGTATCAGTTCCCCCTATTTCGGACGTCCAAAGCTACATGAGTTCCAAAAATATATGCTTCGAAAATTTGTATTGGCCAAAACACCAAAAATTGCGTTCTGAAAATTAAGCGTTTCTCGGAATTGATCATAGAGGTCCCGTTGAGCTCCGAAAGTGTCGAAATCGAGTCCGAAACGTCGAAAAACGTGTCCGGGACTTCAAAACATCTGAATCGGACGTCCGGCCGAGAAATGGGCTCAGACACGCATAGCGGCCGAACCGGCCAGCTGCCGGCCGGCCGCACCTGCCGCCGCACGCTACGGCGGCTTCGCGAACCGTGGCGCGGTTCTTGAACCGATCGTGCGGAGCGCGTCTTATGACACGCGGCGGAGCGCGCGTCTGAGCGAAAGCGCTGGTTTCACGCGGAACATGGCCCGCGATCCGCGGGACCCGTCATGCGGATTGCGGCATCACCGCGAGGTTTGGAGCGCGTCGTTTCGCTGCACCGCCATTGTTGGTCCCATATCCGTCCAAAAATAGCGTTTTTGCTTATTTTGGGTCCAAAAAATTCCAAAAAACCGAAAAATTCTAAAAAATTATGTATTTTTTTTTAAAAAAATAGATAATTTTTTAAATTTGCAATAACTTCTTCCCCTTTCTCTCCAAACCTATAAATAGCCCCCCTAGCTCTTTAGGAATATTCAACTTCTCTTTCTTCTCCCTCTGACTCATCTAGCGGTTGAGGCTTCCGCTATTTGCGAGTTGGAATTTTTTCTGCTCGAATTAGCGCCCCTCCTCGCGTGCAGAAGCCTACGGGATTTCTTCCTCTCCCTCCGGCCTATTGATGGTTGAGGCTTGCGTTATTTGCGAGTTAGAATTTTTTTCCTGCTCGAATTAGCGCCCCTCCTCGCGTGCAGAAGCCTACTGGATTTCTTCCTCTCCCTCCGGCCTACTGACGGTTGAGGCTTTCGTTATTTGCGAGTTGGAATGTTTTCCTGCTCAAATTAGCGCCCCTCCTCGCGTGCAGAAGCCTATGGGATTTCTTCCTCTCCCTCCGGCCTACTGACGGTTAAGGCTTCCGTTATTTGCGAGTTGAAATTTTTTCCTGCTCGAATTAGTGCCCCTCCTCGCGTGCAGAAGCTTACGGGATTTCTTCCTGGTGGATTCTCGTGAGGCAATCAAAATGGGTGATTGCACTTCTACCAAAGATGTTTCCGTTGTGGAAGATCGTCCTACTGCGCGTTCAGAGGGTTCGAAGAAGGCTCCTAAGGCGAAAAAAGCCGACGACGTGATTTCTACTATTATAGAAGACTCCTTCATCTCTTTTAGGAATTATCATTTTCCTAATGACTTGGTGATGAAGGTGCCGGCGAGATCTGAGCGCGCCTGCTCCCCTCCTCAAGGATACGTGACAGTGCATGAGTTTAGTTTGCGAGCGGGGTTGCGATTTCCGTCGCCGCCCGAACTGGTTGATATCTTGACGGCTTGTGGATTGAGTTTGTCTCAATTCTCCTATCAGGCCATGTCGGTGGTAGTGGGTCTGATTTCATTTTTCAGAGAACATGGAGCGGTGTTGTCTGTAGAATGCTTATCTCGGATGGGGCGTATTTATACCGACGGAGAAAAGGACTTGTTGAGTATGTTGAAGCTGCCTGATATTGAAGCTCTTCGTTATGAGATGCACTCTCTTAGTAGATGCTTAGACGAGGAATATCTATTCAAGGTGGGACTATCCACTCATGCAGGGAGGTCACACGCACATAAATTGAAGATATCCACAAAAGTCTCGGAAGTCCAAACAACTCAATCTAGGCGACCTGAGGGTGAGGGAGATTCACATACGCCTAAGAAGAATAAGTCGAACGAAGTTTTTGCAGTTGCCGGCAAGGGCCCTCGCTTTTCTCCGTCTAGGATATATATCCCCGAGGATGTAATGAAACATAAGTGCATCGGTCCGTCGACGACGGTATAAATACACCCCATCCGGGATAAGCATTCTACATACAACACCGCTCCATGTTCTCTGAAAAATGCAATCAGACACACTACCACCGACATGGCCCGATAGGAGAATTGAGACAAACTCAATCCACAAGCCGTCAAGATATCAACCAGTTCGGGCGGCGGCGGAAATCGCAACCCCGCTCGCAAACTAAACTCATACACTGTCACGTATCTTCGAGGATGGGAGCAGG